ATTTGAAATTTGATTCCTCGATACGATGTTTCCCGTGCCAACGAACTTTCACGGTGTATATCTTTTTCCTCTATCGATTTTGTTCCAAAGTTTTTTTCATGTCAGCATGAAAAGTTAGATGGTTGATAAAGAGTGTAGAGTGAGATACTAGAGTCGAGCATATCACAAGAAGAGGATTTTGCATTAATGAATATGATCTGTTATTCTAACGGTGGGGTAGCACTTTTCTAAATCCTCTTATATATGAGGCGAAATGGGGACGAAAAAGACAAGGGCAGACGGAAGATGAGGAAATAGAAGCAGAGTAAGGAAAACTTGAAGAGAGTCCTCCTAATAAGAATGCTACTTGCAATAAAATAGGATTTCCACTTGATAAGGATCATGAAAAAATGCCAAGTAAGATCGTTTCGAATACATCAGCAGAGAATGCTTCTTGTGATTTTATATTCGTTTATTCTTATTTCAATGGCTTCAATTTCTTTTCTTTCAAATGTTATTTTCGATTTTTTTTTTTTTTTTTTTTTTTTACAAAAAATATTTCTCTATACTTGATTGGGCACGATGATTTATTCTTGTGTGTTCAAATTTTTTATTTTATTTTCCTTGTTTTCTTTTTCAAATAGTTAAACCTAGATTGAGTCGAATAAAATAACACAATTTCGTTTTTAAGTTTAATATGAAGGATATATAATATACCTAAAGGCAACTCTCAAAATATATTTCTATCAAAATCGTTGATCGGATAAATGAAATTCGACGGAGGCACGAAACCGTATCAAGAATAAGAAAGCCGCGTGATCTCTTCTGACACGTAATAAACCGTCCGCTCTGAAAGCAAAAGGAATAAAGAGTATAAGAATAAGAAGAAGAAAACGAAGAAGAAGAAGAAGTAGAAGAAGAAGAAGAAGAAGAAGAAGAAGAAGAAAAGGTAAAAGAATCATTTCACCACAATGCCCGAGGCTTTGTGGTGAAGACATCACGGATGAACGTTAATCGTGACACAAAATTGGAACGTGAATACAATAGGTGGGACAGTTTGATTTTTTTTCTTGATTTCGTTGTTGAAAAGACGATGATCCCCTAACCGAGCAGACCTAAAACGAGTTGAGTATTACTCTACAATATCTCGAGTCACGATTATTTTAATTCTATGACTTTCGTTTATGAAAAAAAAAAAAAGAAATGATTTGCTTTGAAATATGATTAAAACACGTTGCATTGAACTAACAATAAGTAAACGAAAAAAGGATTACATTTGAAAAATTAAGCAAATCGAGCAATGAATGACTAGTCAACCGGAAATGAAACATCATTGACTCAGGAAGATTCTTCTGTTTAACCACGACGAGATGTCAGTTATAACAGACGTTTCAGTAGATGGACCGGTTACCCTCTAGACACTCCTTTTCGCTAATAGCATGCACGCGACCATCCGGACCACACGTGCGCAATAATAGGAACGAGCTTGAAGTAGGAACTGGTACACGTGCAAACAGAAATACATATATATATACATACATATATATTTATATATATATATATACCTATGCTTGTACATTGGTCCACCGATCAAGCATAGCATAGCGACGAGCGTCTGTCGCTAGCCGACTTTCTACCGTTCCATCTGTTCCTTGTTACCCGGGGTTATTAATTAGCCGCTTTCTGGTACTCGGTAAACTTGGGGTTGTCGAATGCGACTCGAGTGACATCGACGAGAGCATTCGAAGTTATCCGGCATATGCGATAAGAATTAAAAACAAGAGAGCGGATGTTGAGAATGAGTAAAAAAAAAAACAAGAACGAACGAAAAAAAGAGGGAAAGAAAAATACAAACAAAAGATGAAAAAGAAGAAGAAGAATAAGTAGAAGTAAAAGAGTAGTATTCCGAAAGTAAAACGAGGACAACAATAAACTTTTGTTAAGCGATATCGGGAAATGCATACGCATCAGTAATATTCGACGAAAGTGCTTTTCTGCATCTCATCTACTTCGAAGCCTTCATATAGCTCTGGGATTTGTACGGCAGCACACCGTGTGTGTTGTACACCACGATGCGTCGTTACGTCTATGTTAGGTTTCAACATTCTCTCCGAATCTCCTGGTGGCAGCCTCAAGCGGCCCTCGCCCGCAGAAATGTAAATACCGCTCGGCCAATCAGCCTGATTGGTCCCATTCGCTCGGATGCTCGTCATTCAGCAGCGCATATAACGTGCCTTACGGGCCGGCTCGAACGGGCCTCCTGGATCCGCGCATTGTTCAGGGAATTGGTGTATAAGTGCGTGTACACGAGAACGCACGTAAACCGCGATTCCACCCAGTCTCGACGCATCCGGGATTTCGTCCTAGTAAACGAGAAGGTACATTAGTTGTCAAACATGTATATATGTATAATATACTCCCTATCCTACGAGATTGAAATCTTTCAACGATGTTAATGCATTAAATTATGACAATTCTATGTCGATTATTGGTTTAGGTATTATGCTAAAGATTGTAAGATCCATTATTTTAATCTGGTCTTTCTGAAATTAATATTTATGAAATTGAGACAAGAAATTAATAAAGTTTTACTTAGTATTATTGGAATTTAAATATTACGTTCCAAAGAAAACAGTATTTCAATACGGTTGAGACGCACATTAGAGTGCGTGCGTGCGTACGGTTGTCAAACGAAAGCAAAAAAATAAAGATAGGGAGAACGAGGGCAGATATTTGAGATTTTTTCCTCGAGGGCACAATGAAAACCAACGGTCTAACAGAAAAAAAAAAAAAAAAAAGAAAAAGAAAAGAAGACAGAGAACAGAGAGAAGAAGAAGAGAGTGGTGGAAAGGGTCGAGCAATCGGCGATGCGCACTTTGAGCAAAGAGGAATTAAGTGAACCCAAAGCCCAAGGTTGAGCGAGCAAAAGCAGTCAGTCAGTCCGGGGAATAGAGAGTTCGCCGCACGAAGGTAATATCCTTCATTCGTCGAGATAACGTGTTTGAGCGAAGGGATGTTTACAAGGGTGGACCGAAACGTAATGTGGAAGCGAAGGAAAAGAAAGTAACGACTCTACTTGAGAAGATGAACCTCTATAGTGGGGGGCCTCCTTTCTCATCGTCGTTGTAACATCTTCTTTCTGTCTTTTCCTCTCGAGATAAAGAAGAAGAAGAAGAAGAAGAAGAGAGAGAGAGAGAGAGAGAGAAAGAAAAGCCAAAGACGAATGGAGTTCAGAGAAAACAGCACTTACGTCTCACGTTTCTAATCTGGTCCGATTCTTGTTTACTGGAGGCATCGATAAAGGAGTAAGTGAAAATCTGCAGGAATTTTCTGTCTCGGAAATGTAACTTGAAATTTATTATGCTTGTAAATATAAACTTGGCAATGGAACAAAAAGAAGAAGAAGAAGAAATACAGAAATAGGATAACGCGTGTCGGCGGCGTTGGTGGCTAGGATTAGAAAGTTCAAGCTCAGAGAATAGTTCTGTTCGCTTTTCGCTTTCTCGAACAGCTGGCGCTTCTTCTATGAGGACGAAGGACAAAGATGGCGGTCTCGCTACGGTGTCGCGAGATCCATTTTAACGAGTCACCCACTCCTCGAGGGAGTTCATTGAGACGCCGGCTGCTTTGGCAACCGTCTTGCCTCTTCTTCTTCTTCTTCCTCTTTTTTCTTTTTATTATTCCTCTCTCAGTTACTCTTTCGGTTTCTCCCGGGTCTGATTTCTTATTCTTTCTTTTCCCCTCCCTCCCTCCCACCCCCCAAACCCCTTCCACGAATTCTCGGCATTATTCAACGGGCGCGCGACTTTCATTGAGGATGCGCGCACGTATTGACTGATTCGGAATCGTTCGAAATCAACGATAAAAACGTTGCTTCTTGGAAGGACAGTACCACCTCCTGTAGTGCCACTAAAATTGTTCTTAAGAAGAATCATTTTTATTGATTCCTTTATCCTTTTATATCAAAAGATACGAGCCGATTCGTTCAAGGACATGCTTTTCTTCTTTTTCCTTTTACTTTTTTTTTTTACTCTATCCGCAATAAAAATACTCCGATTTTAGGATTCAATTTATTATCAACTTTCCTTTCTAATATTTCTTTTTCGTTTTTCGTTTTTTTTTTTTTTATTGACGGCGCAATCAAATGGAAAATCATGGAAGCTATTGCAATTAAAATCCAATAAGAGCAATCGATGAAAGCTATGCGAAAACCTCTCCCCCTCTCCCCCATCCTCTCACGCATAAGTCTGGTTGCTGTGAATTTCATGGACGAAAGCGTGACCATTCGACGCTCAGTGAAACTAAATTTAGATTACGAGCGCGTTACTAATTGCACGCACGGCATTATAAAGCTTAATCGCTTTGATTACTTATTGCACGTAATTAAGCGTTTATTGCAGTTACTTCGGGATCGCTCTCGATGATTTATACCGGCGACAATGTTCTATATCGATCTATCACTTTTTCTCTTTCTCTCTTTGACTATGTCCAAATTTTCTCTCTTTATTTTTCTCTCTTCCTCTCGTTTTCATTCGTTCTCTCTTGTACGCAACCGAAAACTCGAAACAGTGCAGCTGCAACTAGAAAATCGATTCGATCATAAACATCGAGTCAATTTTAAACTATTTGCCGCTTGTCTCGTTTCTATTTATTTTCAATTCAATCTACTACCGGCACGTACGAAATTTCATTCCGCGATGTCCCGATATAAAATTTCATAGCTTTCCGCATCGACCGATAGAATATTTAGAAAATAAAAAAAGGAAAACAACAACAAAAAAAATAGATAGACAGGAAAAAATAAAAATAAAAATTAAAATTAAACAGATACATTTTTTTTTTTTAAAAACATTATTATACTTCGAAACGATGTGTATATCAAGATGGAAAAAAATATATAATAACAAACGTCCCTGGGAGTGCAATAGTTTATGCGAGAAAAAAAAAAATATATATATATATATATATATATATATATATCTAACCGTCAAGTAAGAAAAACGGAATTCGTTTGCTTGCAGGTAGGTAATCCAGTTTTGGAGATCTCTTCCACATTGAAAGATCAACCGTAGGAACGAAGGAGCACGAGGAACGATAAACACGAAGCTCTTTAGAAAAAATAAAAAAGGTAGGAAAATAACGTCGTAGGCCGATCTACAAAAGCTTTATACAATAGTAGAGAGAATCAGGAGATAGGATAATCTTTGAAGGAAGCACACACACACCCCACATATACGTAGGACGTTTCTTTTTTAAACTTGTTCTCTTTCTTTGCCTCCCCCATATTCTGCCTCATCTTCCTTCCTTCCTTTCACCCCCCTTTCCCCGTTAGTCCACAACTTTGAAATATTTTTTACGCAAAGGAGAACACTGCGAGCCAGTGGGGCATAGTCAACGCGTAGCACACATCGTGGCCATTTGACAATGACGAGAGGAAGGATTCGAGTTTTGGAAGAGTCAGTCAGGCTCCCAAGCGTATACGTACGTATAGTACTCTCTCAACAACAAGAGAGAGAAGGATCCGATCCCTCTTTCCTACGAAATAAACTGTTTTCTTAGGCACTCTCCGGGGCTCTTGAAAAATTCCTAAATATTTACTCGAGTGGAGGACCCCCAGACGGACGACACTTAAACGGTATTCTTCGAGCATAGTACACGAAGACGGGCTTAAGCTTCCCTGAAGGACGGATTAGAGCCACTCGTGCGCATTTCCTACTCTCTCTCTCTCTCTCTCTCTCTCTCTCTCTTTCATTTTCTTTTTTCCTCTATTTTACTTCTTTTTCTTCTTCTTATTCTTTTTCGATCCTTTTTCCTTTTATCTTTCTTCAATTTCCATACCTTGAGAAGTCTTCTTGCACACACACTCATACACATACACACACAGAGTATTTGCATCTAGGGTAAATCGGTCGTTTCTTCCAATTCCTATAAGTATTTCGAATTCTATACTTATAAGGATCAATATAAGTCTAACTTTTTCGTATATATGATTCTTACGACTCGTTCGAATCATTCTTCTATCCTTTTCCTTTTAGTTTCATTTTTCTTTTTTCATTTTTTTTTTTTTTACTCTCGACTAAATCGTAATTTATTCCACGTTTATTCAAAGCCCGATGCCTAGCTTGATCGGAATACGTCGTCGACACGATCTTTCAGGGAAGGCAAAAGTTTTCCCACCAGCTTAGTCAGCTCTACCTACCATTCACAAGGCTAAAGAGGCCGTGAGACTTCGACCCAATTTATCCTGGCTAGCTTAACTCTTTTTTCTACTTCTCTTTCTTTCTTTCTTTCTTTCTTTTATTCTTCCTTTCTTCTGATATCTGGGTATTTGATTCTTTTTTTTTTCTTTTTTTTGGTTTCATCATCTTCAAACCAACCGATTTTGTTCTAGATGCATTGCTAAAATATTTCTAGGTTAATAAAAAAAAAAAGAAATACGAGAATTATAGGAAATAAAATGCGAGAAGAAACAAGTTACTTATCGATAAGACTCTAAAGTGATAAAAAGAATTTACGTAAATACACCTCTTTCTTCTACTCTTTATTTTTTATTTCTTTACTTTTTCTTTCTCCCTATCTCCTCTATCCGTTCCTTTCTTCCTTTCTTTCTTTCATTCTACCTTTTTTCTCTTCCTTTTACTCCTTTTTTTTTATTTCTTTTTTTTATCTTTTTTTTTTTTTATCTATTTTCCTCAACGACGTTGTAAGCGTCGCAATGCAAAAGCATTCCCTTGTACGAAGTTGCAACGCTTCGCCCATCGGTTTTTCTCCGAAGGTAACGCCTTTCGTCTGAGAGCTTCGAAAAGTTTCGTCGAACTGTCGGGGACTCCGTTAAACACGAATAAACGATTTCTAAGGACAGAAGACAGAAAGAAAGAAAGAGAAAGAGATTGTTAAAGAAAAGAAAGAATAAGAGAGCAACAAAAAATCCCACTAAAGATATCGGGTTTCTCCGGTTCTCATTTTTCCTACCTTCCTTTCCTACCCCCCCTTTCCCCTTCTTACTCTCTCTATCTCTTTTATCATCTTTATCTTTCATTTCTTTTTCTTTTTTAATTTTTTTTTTTTAAGATCTCAACTCACCTTGCTCATTACTCGCCAATAATTAATCGGCCAGGAGCAAGAAGCAAGAATCGAACGAGTTCTTCGAGTTCTTCCTGCTATCTCCGCTTTGTCATCGCACCGGATAATAATTCTTCGACGATCGGCGTTGCGAATGAGCAACTCGTTCCATTTGGTTCGTTTCGATCGATTGGTTCCTCCGTTGGTACGCCGAATAACGGATTAATCCCTTAGGCTGTTTCGCTTCTACGGATTGTTTGATTTTCGTCCAATGGGGGATTCGATTCGTCGGGCTTATGTCGTTTACCTTCGACGTTGAACTCGCGACTTCGATTACTATTCAACTACTGCTCTAAGGGTTGATATTTATTTTATTCCAAAGAGAAAACAATTTTTTATGTTAGTTAAGTAAGAGGTATATTATATTTTCGCGATCGATACTCTCAATGTTAAGTTCAATCTAGAAAAAAAAAAAAAAAAAGAAGAAAATATTCAAATATTGGATAGAATTTTGTTTCTTTCTTTTTTCGTCTCGTCTCGACTTTTCTTTTTTTTTTTTATTCGGAAAGATACAATCTCCTTGAAGAATGGTTAGAATAATCAATATTTTTGCTCCGCCTCGCGTTTTCTTCTTTTCATCTACGAATATATATCTCTCGTGCATTCCAAGAGGAGTATAAGATTCTCGCGTAGAATCTAAAAAGGCAGGGAAGTGTACCTTCTAGGATGCAAACTTCAACCCTACCCTCCTTTATTCTGTACAATAAAGCGTGTGCCGGAGGAAAAAAACAGACAGAAAATACAGACAAGAGAATAGAGAGAGGAAAAAAAAGTAAGAAAGAAAAAAAGAATGAAAGAATGAAAGAGAAAGTAGACAGACCAATCCAAGAAAAGTGCAAAGCAAGGAGATAAGGACGTTTATAAAGAAAGAACGCATGAAATAGAAAAAGAGTACGTGAACTTGCTATAAGTGTCTGCGGACGTGCACTTCAGCCCTATTCGGAAAATAAACTGGGCCGGCAGACGTATCGGTATGAAAATTTCAATCGGCCGAGTCAAAGTGTCGGGTAGGAGAAGAAGAAAAAGGGGTTGAGAGGGGAGCTGGGGGAATAGTGGGGTTGGACGTGGTCGAAAGCGTTGGAAGCTGGAGGCGCAGGTGGAGTTTGTCGGGTGAAAGAGCCGAAAGGTAGTAGTAGGGAGAGTGGCAAGGGTAAAGTGGCTCTGGACCGAGTAAGTATAGCCTCCACTTTTCTATCTGCCCCCTTCCCCCTTCTCTCTCTCTCTCTCTCTCTTTCTCTCTCTTTATACCAACCTTTTGCTTTCTCTCTATCTGCTCTATCTCATTCTCAACGTTTCTCTCTTTCCACCAACCCCTACCACCACAGCAAGGCCTCATACCTGCCCCCCCTATCCCTCAGTCTATCCTTGTGCAAGGCCCTAGCCCGCGGCGAACTGCATAATTCATGGCCCTACTACACCGACCGCCTCCCCAGCCGACCCTCTTCCAGAGGGACACCAACACCCAACCCTCGTTACCTCTTCACCACCACTACCACCTTTCTTCTCTTCGTTCTCCTTCTCCAGGGTCAGCCTTGGAGTCGCGTGCATTGTACGTCGACGTTCTTATAACCCGCATCTGTAAACTGGCATGTGTTGGTTAGCATGAGGGGTTAGGGAGAGAGAGAGAGAGAGAAAGAGAAGGACAGTATGCTAGAGAACACAGAATCTCCTATGTGATAAAGTTTGACCCAACACAAACGCACGTACATACTCGTCCCAGCTAGCCTTCTAAAAGCGACGGTGCAAAGGAATGTAGGCGAATATTTTGGCTGAATTATGGAATGGCTATGCTGGCATTGAGGTAAAGAGAGGATTATAAAGAAAGAAAAAGAAAATAAGTGAGAAAGAGAAAGAAAGATCGTATGAAAGAGTTTCCAACGATTTAGTCGGAAACGTCTGTTCGATAAATTACCTACATCTCGAAGTACCGACTTTCGTGAAAATTAATACGAAGGAGACTTTGATCTAACGCCCTGCGCCATACGGTGTGCGAATCTAAAAAGAGGGATGGTAGAAAAGGGAGTGACTATCCTACGGCTGGATCATGGACTACTACTGCCTTTTCATTTTTTCGTTCTGCCAGTGGACAAGCCGTACCGGTTTTGCGCGAGGAATAAATGGGAGAGACACGCTCTGCGATCTTGACCATCCCATCGCTCGTGCTTGAAGATAAACATCAGTGCCAGGAGCGGTATTACACGATAGTATCCACACCTATGCCGTACGGTAGTCAAAGGGACTACTCGTAATTAAACTTAGCGATTTTATTTTAAAAATATGTTTCTTTAGATTCTTGAAATATTACGAATAGCTACTAGCAAGCAGTCAGGCAAGCAAGCAAGCTTTGCTTCGGTTTATCAACATCAGTATTTTGTATCGTTGTTTTTCTTTTGGAAAATCTCCAAGTAAGCTCGCTTAAACATACATCTAAAGTCTTTTCTATGTTCTTACTACGTAGGTAAAAGCCTTTTGATAAAAGGCTTTGTAATCTCCAGTGCTGGGTGGTTGGTGGTGGTTGGTAGTTCGCGATGGTGGTAAAGCGGTAAAGCAAACGGCAAGGCTCGCTCGAGCGGATGAAAGATGGAGGTGTACGTTTCGTTCGTAGGAAGCGTGCTACGAACCTCGAACAAACGGGACTCTAAATCCACGTAATTTCTTCCTTCGCTCTTGAACCATATCGCGTGAACGTTTTACGCTAGACGTAACGTCGCCGTCGTTTCAAGAGGTAGCCGGGCATTAGGAAAAATTCTTTCTCCGTTCGTAGTACTCGATCTTAGATATTTCTGAAAGTGTCGTGTTTTCGTTGGAATGAATGGAACACATAAGTAATGGCAATGCGATGCAGCAATTTAAACGATCGTAAAAATCTCATTTTAACGTTTGCGATCGTAGAGATAAATAACTATTCGGTAAAAATTCTATCAAAGCAAAATCGTCGACTAGTAGTTTCTTTGATCTTGATAAAATGATTGAAAAATAAAAGAGTTTTATTCAATCTTAGGTTATCGTTGGGTTAACAGGAACAACAAAATATTCGCAGAAGCAAAGGATCGATCGTCTGCTTGCTGATTCAACCGGTTCCAAGTGGAACGCACGTCTCCGACAGAGGCGACTAGTCTGCTCGAGTAGACCTCTAGGTTGGATGAACCCTAGGACCTTAATTACCGTGTCGGCTAATCGATCTCCTTCGCATTGTGATCGCGCCATCGTCGACACTGGTACCGACGCTAGTAACCACCACTGCGAAACGATATCTCAATCGACCGTCTCAGAATATTATACGAAATTGTGTTAAACCATGAAGACCGATATTGAATGAAATTTTAATTTAAAAAACAAAAAACAAAAAAATATACACAAAATCAAACATAACAAATTAACTGGAAATTGGCTAGTAATCTCATAATATGATGATGTGACTTTGATTGCGAGAAACAGTCCCAATTGACCACCGGATGTGTCTCATAAATCTTAGCTTTCGACGAATCCGTAATTCGAAAAAAGAAATATCGTCTGGAACATGTTTTTCGTGACATGTTAAGTAACAGAAATACATAGACAGTGGTTTCCTAAACTCAGTGGATAAGCATCGGAATGAACGTGGCCAACGAAAGTCAAGTTAATTGGTCAAAAAGTGAGACCTCTTCCATTCCCCGTAGAAGGTGCCTTCCCTTACTCACCCTCCAACTTCGTGACTTTTTTCTTCGTCCGCGCCAAGACGGCACCACCAAGAATAAAATACAGTTTGGTCTTCTCCTTCTTAACTTCTTCGTCTTTCTTATTTTCTCTTTTATTTCTTCTTATTCTTATTCTCTTTATTCTCCTCCTCTTCTGCCTCTTCTTCCGTTCGAATACATACATGCTCGTAGAAGAATCCAGGCCCTACTACAACTCGCTTCTTCGACTCTTTCTCTCTCTCCTTTTCTCCAACTGGTGATCCTAATCTCGATAATGATGCGTAATGGCTGCTGGCGTGAATGTAGTTCTTTGTCCATAGTTCCTACGCCGCTCGTATATCTGTCCGATACTGAGCGTACCATTTCACCCTGGCAAAAGTACGAGGGCTGCCGAAGGGCCCCTTTACCAGTATCTTTTTTTTTCTGGCCTCAAGAAACTGCTAAACCCTCCCTCTTCTTTTCGGTTTATACAGGAAAAAGCATCTTACTTGTTTAATCGTGCTTGATTCCCGCAAGCAATAAAGATTTGCCATAGACAACATTAAGTTTAAATCAGATTGAACATAAAATTTAGCAATCAAATTTTAAAACGAGATTTAACGATGATGATATTTAACAAAAATGAAATTTTTTACTTTTATATATGTTCGGGGAACAGAGAACATGATTATATGGTTATGTTTTAAAAATTTATTCACATTTAATCATTCTTTTTATTTTACAGAAGTTGCGGTTATGAAGGTTCGATGACTACAAGTTTTAGTAACATCAATATGGACTCGCCTTATCTGAGAACTTGGCTACTAAAGATTTTACTTCTTCTTTTGTCCTGTTCACCTGGACGATCTATAGACATATGTAAGTATTAGTAGGAAGATTTAACGACCGATCATTATCTCTATAACAGAGTTTTTTCCTTAGTAAGAAAATTTATAACATAGTTTTTTATCTTTAAAAGTGATCCCTAATTCTAGAGCAATCCTTCCTTTCTATTCGATAAAAACCAGGCAAGAGTGGTTCGTCGTAGGGTGATCCTTATGGATAGCGTTTAAACCTCAGTTTCAAGCTTTTACACGCTTTCCATTCCATTGACTCTTCCATGGGCAACGAGAAGCTTGCTCTCACTGAGGCACCCTCGTACGCATTAAGTAAACAACCTCGGAAACTTGTAAAGTATTCGACGAGCATTCAGTCAAGTCGCACGTGAAAAAGGCTTTTTAGGTTCTTTCAAATCGTGCTGGAAACTTAGATATAGAAGAGAGAGTATGCTGATCGATCGAGTCAAAGTTGTTTCCATATATGCGTAACATTCTTGAAAGAACAGTTTGAACGATTCGACAAATTTCGTATGTTGATCATTTGCTTCTACGTTGGGCTTTCTCGAACGTAAAGAAATTCGATGGGAAAAAAATATATTTTATTGGAAGACTAAAGAAAAATTAAATAAATAAAAATTAGATATTTTTTTCTTTTTTTATTATTATTATTAAATGATCCATCAGCGAGATAACTCGTACGATTCAACACGTAATATAATAAGAATCGTTCGTTAAAATAAACATGAAAAGTGTTATTACCATTCGTAAATATCTTTCCACGAAATTTACATCCCCTATAAATATTTCCAGTATCAGTGTTCCACAAATGTATAAATGAAAATGAAAGAAATGTAAAGTACGGGAAAGAAAAGTAAAGTAAAGTAAAATAAAATAAAGTAAAGTAAAGTAAAGAAAAAGAAAAAGAAAAAGAAAAAGGAAAAAGGAAAAAGGAAAAAGAAAAAACACAGGATCGTAGTTCTGAAAGGCTCGTTCAGCGACGAGCGAAACGCGTCACGATTATCGTCGCCGGCGGCGTATTTCGGTCGAGGCAAACGGTTAACCGGACAAGAAGTGGGCGGGCGGGGGTGGAAGACGAATTAAACGAACTCTCTGTGGCACGCGTATGCCGAAATATAAATAGCATCGAGAGAAACGAATTCAAAGGCTTTGCGAGAAGAACCGAAACACACTATGGGACAACCCAAAGAGTGTGATTCTCCTTTTCCACCACCCATCCGCTGTCCTACCCCTGTTACAATCCATGCCGAGTGAAGTTGTACGTTGAACCACGCTAGTAAGTTCGCGGTCGTGTTAAGCAACTCAGTTTAAAGTAAGAGAGAAAGAGAAACAGAAAGAGAAATCGAGCAACAGCAAGTAAGCCTATGCATACATGAAAGATAGAAAGAGATAGAGAGAAAGGAAGATAGAAAGGGAAACAGGAGAAATGGTGAAGGGCTGCGGAGAGAAGGGAATACAGTTAAAGCGCGCATAAATTGCAATGTTAATGTTACCGGCGATACATAAACATGTTGTCCGTCGGTTGGATTGCGGTCTGCAAGCGGCGAACGCGTTCTGCTATGCATGTACATCGTGCAGAAACGTTTCGGAGGGGTTGTTGCTTTCGGGGGACACGAACTGCTTCTCTCTACATACTACACTAATATGAATTTATTGCTCATCATTCACTATTTCGAATCTTTCGATATCAGTGTATATTCGAATTCCCCATTATTGATCGTATCATTCGTATTATTTAACATTTAATTATTTTCTATATTTAATATGATACTTTTATTATAGAAAATCTTTCATATCAAATCAACTAATAAAATATCTTTTAGAAATCTAAACGCAAGACTGATTTAATACGAAACTCAAATCCAATTCTATGATAGTACAGAATAGAGAAACATTTAAACGAAGTATTAATTCTGATCAAAGCTTAAAACCCTATGATTCCAAAGTGCTTATTATTCTTTGTCGATCAACTAACTAAAACTAAAATTTATCAGTGACAAAATCTCGTTTATAGATTTATACATGTCTCTAAACAAGCTCGGTAAATATTCAAATAGATCTAGGATTTTCATATTCGTAAGTGTATTTGTTCAGTGTACGATGATAGCAAGCAAGTAGATCTCAACGTAGATTAGAGACAGGGCATAGGTTTAGATTGAGACGGAGTATGTATTAGAGCTAACAATACGTATACACATACATCCATACATACATACATACATACATACATACTTATGTTTGGCTGTGCACGATGCACGATGGATATGATTGCACGAACGTGCATTGGAGTTTCCATCTCGTCGACGACACGCAGCCGGACTGACATGACGAGCGCTTGTCCTGGATGGAGAACCGTTACGCGAAAAGCCCTTTCTCTCTCTCTCTCTCCCTCTCTCACCCTTTCTCTATTTCTCATGTACGCACGCGCACATTACACTATTGTCATCCTTCGAGCAGTCGTCCTCCCATTGCAACCCTTTCCCTAGTCTCCTTCCTCAATTATTCGCAAATCCATTAGATCCGCAACCATCGGATACGAAATTATCAGCTTGCTCTTTGACGCATTAACATAACAACCTGACTATTATAGCGTTATCGTTCGTCCATCCGTTCTGACATTATAGTCATTTGATCCAGGTCACCCGGTCGATCTAGATTTCATGTATTTAAAGGTATCTCCGCTCTGGGAATATTATCAGTAATCATAATTATGAAAGTTTGTCTAGGTAATGGGTAAGTAAATTGGATTAATATTTATAGAATACTCTCGGGACATTTTATACGTAATTACGTAAAAACTGTTAGACCTAATTTTGAAAGAATACGAGCATTGGTTGCTATCGTTATTATAAATAAGAAATTTTCTTGACAACTAATTGATCGTAAAAATGTTGAACTAAATAAATTCAACATAATTCGAATGATAGGAAGAACAAAAAAAAAATGAAAAATGGAAAATCTTCAAGAGAATTGGTACCAAAAAAACAAAGTATTATACAATATCTCGGTACTATATTCTTAATAAGCACGATTTACGTCGCTAGTAAAGAGATAGAGAGAGAAAGAGAGAAAGAGTATTTTCATAAATCCAGGCCACGAAGGCAAACGCAAAACACATGGCACGCTGAACACAAAGGGGTTGGAGTCTCGCGTCCCCTCGAGAGGTAACCAACGCATGCAACTCGAGACGGTGATTTTGAGTCTGGTGAGGAGGCGGGTCGGTTCGCCCAGGGGATCTCATGGGGAAGAGGGTGTAAAAGGACCGATGGAAGAAAAGGTTCGGGCAGCAGGACGTCTGAGGAGGGACGGAAGGGTCGCGTAAAAGTAGTACTTCCGTTTTTCCAGCCGTCGCGGCGCCAGAAAGAGAAACGACAAAGAGCATGCGCCTTCGGTTCACCACCTAACAACACCACCACCACCACCATCACCAACACTACCTTTCCCTTCCAACAACCTACAGCGCCTAGGCTGTTTGTTTTTCCTGAAAGAGGCGAAAATGGCTCCCTTGGACCTCGACAATGAGCACGAATGGAGAGAAAGAAAGTAAAGGGAAAGGGACTGAATGAGAAGGAGAAATAGAAAGAGAGAAAGGGGAAGAAGAAGAAGAAGAGATAGCACTACAACACGACCACGATGTTGCCCAGAGGGAAAGCATGAACTTCTTTTGAGGTCATCGCTCTTCCAAACATTCATTCTAATTTCACTGGTCCGCACGAAAGGAGTTTCGTGTTTTCTGTGATACAGAAAAGAGATAGAAATAGTGGAAAAAGAGAGATGGAAAATACCGTGCAGCAGGTGGGCAACTGCTAATTTTGTTAAGCGAATAAAGTGTTAGACACTAGCATAATACGACCGAGGAAAAGCCATTACGTCTACTATTCATTATTAAAGAGGGAAAAAAAGCTCGTGTCTCTACTTTTAACCAACGATTTTATTGTTCCTTCTTTTCTTTTTCTTTTTGATTTTTTTTTTCTTTTAAATAAAAAGTATTTCATTATTCTTCCTCGTGTTGTTGAGGCTCGTGTTTGAATAACGTTGATAAGAGCTGCTTGAATATCAGACGTTGTTTTTCTTTATAGGAAATAGAAAAAAAAATAAAAAAAAAAAACAAGAAATTGAAAATAATTTTTATTCTTAATGAATCTCGTTGAAACGTTGAAAGATCTTTTTAATCATGTTGAATGCAAAACCGATCGATCAGGCACATTTCATACCTGACAGACTTTCTTTCTGCGGGTTCAGAAAAAAAAAACTATATACATATAGAAGGAATACATTCGCGGGTAGTATTTAAAGCAAGACATGATTTATACGTTAATATCGCGGCGTAATAAGGCAGACCGCTTAATATGTTTTTCGCTAAGATCGAGAGAGTAATTAATTTACATTCGCGCCGTTGAACGAGGAAAACATGTAAAAGGAGGAAGGGTGGAACAGACGAAGAGCGAAGACCACGGTCTGGACCGCGTACACAGTCATTAATAATAATCACCGAGTTAACAAAGGCAAGGGGGCATGGCAAAATTATTAAATCCGCCTGAGATAGAAGAATAAGAGAGAAAGAGAGAAAGAGAAAGAGAACTCTGGGCGTTGCGTTGTGAAAATTTTCCCTCGCTTCATTTCCTTCAACCATTTTACTCTGACGCAAGCAGAAAAAGGGCCCCTTCCTTCCTTCCTTCATGGAACTAAAAACGCAAAGCCGACAATCCTGTTGCTTCAAATAATTAGCATCTTCATAAACGTTTTCTTAGTATACCGCATTCTCCTGGCTTCGTCATTTCGAATTTGCCTCCCCGTAAGAAAAGGTGATATTTTGTTCAAAGATGTTTTCTTCTTCTTCTTCTTGTTTTTGAATTTTTATTAATTGAACTATATTTCCACTGATTTGTAATATTTAATTGATACGAGCTTCTTATAGTTAGCACATTCCATTTGATATATAATAAACCTAATAATTAAATTGAAGTGAAATTTGAAGAAAAAAAATAAGTGGGTGATGGGGTACACTCATGTCTCATGGAAAATGCCTTCTACGAGAACATACGAAGATTCGAAAAGCCTTCTTCCTTCGTAGAAAAACGCTTATCAGTTTGACAGCGGAAGAGAAAAGATGAAGAAGAAGGAGTAGTAGAAGAAGAGAAAGAGAGGAAGAAGAAGAATCTCGCGAAGAGGGTTGCTAGGGCATTCAATTTCCCTCTTCTCGCGGATGGATGAGGGCGGGCCCACCCTTCCGTTCGGAGCTGTCACTTCTTGAGAGTTATGGTGACCGAACGAGTGGCTGAGGCGGGCCAAACGTCGCATAACTTACTTCTACTTCTTCTTTTCCTTCTAATACTTTATTTTTCTCTTTATTTCTTTCTTTCTTTCTTTCTTTCTTTCTCATCTTACCTCCTTTTCCAAGATGTCTATAAATACAGAAATCGAACCTGCTTTCCACAAGGAGACACAAGTTCGTTTGTTATCCCTAAATGAAATCCCACTTTTGTACGAAAGCTTATATAACTTGTCTACCAAGTAATACATTTATTTCGTAAATTATTTCAATTTTCCTATCCCATAGACAATTTATTTTAAACAAACAGTTGTACATGGTATTTGAGAAGTTCAAAAGTTGTACTCTAATTTGAGTCCAATTTAGAGATCAAAAAGTTCTTAATTCTTATTCATTGTATTTGTGTCCAAGAATTGCAATACCAATTTTATTCTATCAGCTTGGTTGTAAGTAAACTAAAAGTAGATATTTCTATAACGAAAAAAAGTTTTACTATATGATAACAATTTTAAGCCCTATCTCCGAACGTGAAATGTCGTAAGTGGCAATCAAATTTTATCTCTTTACCCATTTGAGATTCAAAGTTTTTGGCTAGATTCTTAGAAGAAAAAGGAAAAAAAATGAAAAAAGAAGAAGAGAAGAAAAAAAATAAAAAAGAACATTTACAAGTTCACTTATTTACGTGGTCTCTCGGCAGCCTTTCGTGACGGGACAGAAAAATCAGTGGGAGAAAGTGGACGGGATAAGAGAGAAAAGGAAAGAATATTTAGGAGTAGTACGAGGAGAAGAAAGTTTGTGGATTTAAGGTCGTTGCACGAGTAAACGAGCTCGATAATCGTTGACGTGCCTGGCGATGATTCAGGAAACAGCTGTCGTTACAGCCAGTAGGAGTTGAATTTCCTACTTGAATTTATCGAGTTTACGAGAGCGAATTGAGCCAACGCTACCAATATTATCCGTTTTTCCTGAGAACTTTCTTGCGGTGTATGTATAATATATATATATATATATATATATATATATATTCGTGTAGAGCAATCAAGGTCTCTTTGATCTAATAAAAATTTCTTCAAAGAATAAGTGTCGATTTAAAAGTACCGTTAACGAGAATCAAGAATAGTATTCTATTCTTTTTCTTTTTCTTTTGCCTTATCGAATGATACGATCTATAAAAGGTATACTTATTTTTAGAGATAGGAAGAGGGAGGATTGATCATAGGTATCACGTGTTAGGAAAAGTCTCTTTCAAAAAATCATATTGATTCAAGAAGGAGTGTCGAATAAACGTGCGTAACCGAATCTCCCTACTTTTTTTTTTTTTTTCTATTTTTTTTGTTCTTTTTTCTTTTTCGTTTTCAGCACAATGCATCGCACCCTTAGGAATGGAGTCCAGGGCAATCCCAGATGCCGACATTACAGCCAGCTCGAGTTTTGATAGCGGAAACGTTGGACCCCATCATGGACGGTGAGTAGTAAAGTAAAGTAGTATATTCTTTTCTCCCTCTTCGATACGTTCACGTTGCTTCAAGTAATACAATAAGATAGGAAAAAAAAAAAAATACGTATATAGGAAAAAAAGAAAAAATGTTGTGGTATCGATCGGCAGTCAAGAAGCACTTTGCTTCCATACTTGGTTCGTGGTGGTAAGTCGTTTTGTGGATACGTGAGAAACGATGTCACTTCATCGATGACACGTTCGTCATACCCCTACCAACGTATTCGAGATAGGTAAAGATCTATCTCGAGAGTCGGTTGCCATATCAATCAAATACCAGTAAACTGCACGTCTACTTTGGCCGTCAGCTAGCAATGAGGATTAATGACGCCTGGGATTCTAAGCCCCGCATGCTGAATCATTTGTATCGGCCAGCTTCAAAGCTCTTTCGACGCCCTAAATGCTTATACCCTTCCCCATACCTAGTCCTTTGATTATACGTGCGAGTTAATTACCATTGAAAGAAAAAAAATAAAAGAAAGAAATTCAACAGAGTCTGGTATATGTGATACAAAGGGTCGTTTGGACCACCTACGGTGTTCGGTGTATTTTCTCTCAATGGTTCCTACTTTTATTCCCATCGACCATTTGTTTGACTGTTTTTTTTTTATTGTCAGAGTTACTTGCATTCGAAACTTAATTCGTGGTAAATGTTATTCGTTATTTAAATATTTTTTCTTTCTATTTTTAACAATTTTTTTTTTTGCAAATAATATACATTATAACAGTGTACACATTGAATTGTTTAATCTTCTTCTTAAATACATTTTTAATCACATCCCATGAACATTAGTTCTCAACAAACGAGCAACACTTTAAATCCAATCGTTAAGCAAGAAGAGCTCTTTGATTTTTATTCGGAAAAGCTTGAAAGCGCATTAATAGGTTATGCGGTAGATCTAGAGAGAAAAAAAAAGAAGGACAAGACGTTTTTTTTTTCTTTCTGGCACTCGTTCGTATTGGCGACACGAAGAAAGCCCCGTGAATGCAATACCGATATCGTTCACTCCTACGCAGTCTTTTCCTAGTAGACCCGTCTAGACCTCCTTCTACGAGCCCTTATAAGGTTTCTACGATGCCACGGGCTTCCCGGTGAATACCCTATTTACCTGTACGCCTTCCATTTACCCTAAAATACCTATATTTAAACATTGTTTGTACACACTTTAATACTATCTCTAAATCGGCACGCCGTTTCGCCAATTCAACGTTTTCCTAACATTTTTCCCATCACTTTTAACCCTAAACGAGTGTCCATAACGTTAATGATATTCGTGATAAGGAAAGATGTCTTCATTAAAGTTACATGATGTTAATTTAACGTGTTAACGAGAACGGATTATTCATATTGTCACATATCATTCTACCATCTAATATTTTTTAATATCAAACACATAACTACGAATTCGTGATAGAAATATTTTATCGAGATTATCGACAAAAAAATCTACGAATAAGACAGATATAAATAAAATAATGAAAAGTTATTCTATAGAACGTTTGAAACGTTTTATATTCAAATAAATGAAATCAAGAATATACTCTACGTTATATATAAATCCTTTCAACTAGAAACGTACCTTCTGTCTTCCAAAGTTCTCTCTCTCTCTCTCTCTCTCTCTCTCTCTCTCTCTCTCTCACTCTGTTTCATGCCCCTTGTCTTCTTCTTCCTCTTCTCCTTCGTCAGACGGATTCGAAGTTTTCGCGACTGGTGGAGAAACACGTTGGATTTCGACGTCCATTATATATCCCAGCGTATGCTCGACTTCTGGCACGTTCGTGCTTTCGACAAACAGTTTCTCCCGATAATCGAGTAACTCACTCCACTCTTCTCCTTCTTCTTCCCTCTCTCTCTCTCTTTCTCTCTCTTTCCTTTCCTTTAGTTCTCTCAAAAGCTTCTCGCACCGATTTCGCCAACGTGGCAGCTCCAGGCAGAGTCTACTCGCAGCGTAATCGTCCGTTCTGAGATTTATCGTGGAGCGGGTGCCGCGTACGCGGAATGTCTTTGATGCCCTGGACTGTATCAAAGTGGCAGCCAGACAGTTCGAGCTCTCTTAATGGGCTATGAGTTATGGTCCTTCACGGTGGTGCATATTATCTATCTCTCTTTCACTCTCCATCCATCCTCCTTCCCACCCCTTCACTTTTACTTTTCTCTCTTTCTCTCTTTCTCTCTCTAGTTACCTCTTTTTTTGTTTGTTCTATCCACCATCCCTTTCGTTTCACCGTTTTCCTTCACTTCCTCTACCCTTTTTTCTTCTTGTTATTTTCTTCTTTCCTTACTTCCTTCCTTCCTTCCTTCCTTCCTTCCTTCCTTCCTTCCTTCCTTCCTTCCTTCCTTCCTTCCTTCCTTCCTTCCTTCCTTTTAGAAGAACACAACAACTCCGCGAGTTCGTTCCGTGTACTCGCTTTTACTGCCCTTTTAGTCAAAGCAAAACTCAAAGTTCTTATACTTTATAAAGAGAGGGGAGAGTTTAAAAGAGTTTAAGAAAGATAAAGGATTATGGTTGATATCTTTGTCGCAAAATAATTTACCAGTAATACACTCCGTGTTACCCGTTCTTTTTAATCTTTTTTCATTGAATTAAATTTTCTATAATTCTATTAATCCGACTAATTGTAAATTGAATACAAAAAATATATTTATCTCGATATATAATATATATTATATATTAAATTAAATTAATAATAAATGAGAATTTGTTTTGTTTAACGGTGTAAAAGAAAATTCTTCTATACGTGTAAAACCCCCGATAATAAAATATTCCCTGATTATTCACTGTTAACATTACAAAGAACATTCCAATCATTTGTCAAAGGATTAATTCCAAAGGTACTCGAATCGTTCGAAGGATTCTTCGGTAAAGAGCACGCTTCTCTGAGTGTCTGAGTGTCGCTAAAGGTATGTGCGAATACAATTATTAGCCAGCTCGAAGTGGCTTCACTATCCTCGTCCTCGTCGTCCTCGTCGTAGTCGACGTCGTTGTAGTCGTCGTTCTCGCGATGGTGCCACCTCATCTTTAATTCATGTCATCCGGTGGCTTGGCACGATCGATAAATTATAATTTCACTCCCCCGTATCAACTCCACCTCATCCAGCAAGGTGACGGTTATCCGTCGGCCAGGAAGACGATCACGTATTTATGCGACTTCCTTTTCTCGATGATGCACACATCGCTTCCGTTCGCAATCCTTTTATTTAACCTTTTTTTTTTATTTTCTTCTCATTTTTTTTTGTTTTTTTTACTCTTGTTGTTGTTGTTTTATATCAGTGATTTATCGTACATCAGAGCAACGGATGATACATTGTCTTAGGTCAATCGATCGTATAAACATTTTAAATCGAGCAGCAAACGAAAAGAATACAGAGGAAACGACGAAATAAGAGGTTTAGCTTCTTATTCTTCTTATTCTTCTTCTTCTTCTTTATTTTAAAAGAAAATATTGACCTTATTTTGTCCTTTTTCCCCAGGCTTAGGCAAGAAAGTCACGGAGGTGCTTGGTGCCCGAAGCAACAGATCACAACGGAACCACGAGAGTGGTTGGAAATCGATTTACACACGGTGCATATGATCACGGGAACTGGCACTCAAGGTCGATTCGGAAATGGACAGGGCGTGGAATATTCGGAAGCATATCTTCTGGAATATTGGAGACCCAAACTTGGCAAATGGGTTCGCTACAGGGATGTTCGTGGCGAGGAGGTGAGTTATATATATACGTATTATCACATCATTTTATTATTTGATTAACGGATAATAAAAGAGTTACGAGCTTTTTCATATTTTCCATGTAAAATATTGTACTTTGAATGTTACACTTAAAAAAAGAAAAAGAAAAAATGAAAAGTGCGATAGTATTCTATCTCATCAAGGTTCATATGATAAAATATTTATTCAAAGGATAATTTTATTGAATATTTCAAATATATTCATCCGGTCCCATCTTCTTTACATCCTAGTAGCACTTGAACTATCATCGTTGACCCTTAGAGACCACCAGCCGCCCCCAGTAGCCGTACTTCGAATAAATGACCACAGGCTTTTATGACGAACGAATAATTCAAATCGATCGCCGAAGTTATAGTAATTTATCCGAATAGAGTCACATTAAATGCGAGAGGGAATACGATAGAGGTTAAATTTAGTCGAGGGCAATGTGCATAAAATGGCCGTGCGTGCATGCGTGCGTGCATGCGTGCGTGCGTGCTTATGTGCTTACATACGTGTACGAGGATTATTGAGAATGATTTGTAGCGTTGTCCACGAGTCTAAAGGCCGACCACGAGCAGCAACTAAAGCGTGACATTAACAAGACGTAAATCTTCAATGTAATACGCTATTTTCCAGAGATCTACGTTCTTCCTCTCTTTATCTCTATCCCTTTCTCTCTTTCTTTCTCTTTCAAAACATTTTACTAGAATAGATTCGTATACGGGAATCTACTAACTCCTTAATTAAGTAGACAATACCTACACAATAACTTTGACTTTCTTATGAACAGTTTTATTAATGTTTCAACTACTTTGACAAATATATTGAAAACATTTTCTCGTGATATCATATTTAGTATTTTTCTACCTATATAGAAATAATGACTTTTTTATTATATTATGTGTAGAAATAGCAAAGGTAGTTACAGTTTCGTATATCGATTTACTCGTGGGAAATCCGCAATGTATCATGAATACATATATAGGTGGAGAGATCTTATCAGCTTTTGGTTGGACAACGCTTCAATCTCGTAGAAATGTAGTGGACTACGGTTTAGCCGAACTTGCTCTCTACTCGAGCTTGTAAATGAATTTGATTGTTCTGCAATTCTCACTGCAACTTAATCTACATATTCACTTTGGATTAGGGGTTTGAGGGGGTCTCTATATTTGTACGAACAAAATATATACGTTCTTCATTTACATTGATTAAATTAATTTATATGTTTCTGATGTAACACTTGAATGTAATATGAACGCGAATATTTTTTTAGAATTAATAATAATAATAATAATATATAATAGAAAATAATTTGATTTTCTTAAATGGATACTTTACTTTATAATAAGATTTTGATGAAAATTGTTAAGAATTGTATTTTAGAGCATGCGCAAAATTCACGACAAGATATCTTTGAAATACGTAACGAAAGAAAGAAAGAAAAAAAAAAGGAAAAAAATAAGAACGTAAAGCGTCCGATCGTTGAAGAGGTTTTCCTCGGGAGTTAGTACGAAAGAAGGCTGCCTCGAGCTTATTTGTATAGGAGGGTGGATCAATAAAACGAGGGAAGGGAAGGTCGTCGCGTGCACACGGGTCAGACGATATTCAACTCACCTATATAGAACGTACCTGTCTGAATAGGCGAGGCCATACCGAAGTACTCCACGAATCTCACGAACTGCGAAATTCTAAAGGGATCACGGCTCTCCAGAGATGCCCTTTATACTTCGATATGGATTTCCTTGTTTCTATGACTTTCTTTTTTACTCTTCCTTTCCTTTTCCCTTCTTTCCTCTTGTTTTTCTCTCTTTCCTTTTATTATTTATTCATAAACTCGGTTAAGGTCTTTCATCGTCATCGTCGTCGTCGTCGATTCATTTAAACACAATATTTTACTTTTTCTTCTGATTTTTCTTTTTTTTTTTTTTTTTTTAAATCATCCGATAATAATTATATTGAGCAGGAAAATGAAAAGCTTAAAATAATAACGAATAATTTTCATCCGACATGTGTAACAAGACACTTATTTCATTGAAACGATATTCCTCGAAATAATTATTCTACACGCGTTCGTTGATACGAATCGTTAACTTTTTGAGACCCGATATTCGTATTACATTACTTCATTGTACAAATGAATTCTATTGAATAACAATTAACGCGAATCCAATTACATTTTCTATTTAACCCTTTTGCAGAATATAATAATATAATTTATTTTATCACTAAAGCGTACACATATGATGATTACGTTCGAATACAAAGGAAAGATATTCGAAAATAATAGAAAATACGTACTCCTATAACAGCTTACAATAATTACTTTTGATTTTACATTAAATATGATATAAAAAGTAAAATGTTTTAGAGTCAAAAGTTAGGGGGTACAGGGGAGGGGGCCCACGGTTTCTATCATGGGTCGATACGACCTGGTGGAGTCCACTCGAAGGACACCACCAGTTCGAAAGGATAAGAGAAGGTTGGGCCCACCCAAGAGGTTGATACGAAAGGGAGAGAAAAAGGAGAGAAAAATAGAGAGAAAGTGCGAGTATAAATCCGCAGAAATTCGCGTCCCCGCGGTACGTTCTCCTCTCCCGCTGAGAGAAACATCCTTCCCAGTGTGTGTGCGTGTTTCTCGTCGCTTAATTACGGAACGACGTTCTTCGTCCTTATCGTACGTACGATCGTCGAGCGTTCTTTCGAGGACGGCCAACCTTCGTTGAATATAACCGGTACGGCTGTCAGCGAGTCGTGTTCACGGACTATTAAAGGAAATTAAGAAAAATCTACGAGGCAATGGTATATCTCTCTCTTTCTCTCTCTCTCTTTCTCTCTCTTTGCTTGCACACATTTAGATATACCTATATCCGAGCTAAAGTCAAAGTAAAAACATACAGAAAACGACTTCATTCCTGGCGGTCCCCCGCGTAGGCGTCCGAGACACCAATTCGGTAATTATTTTCTGACACGAGTCAAGAACTTTTATACGGTCGGAAAAGAAGAAAAAAGAAACTTTCATTCAGCTTGAGTGCATTCGTGTCAACCCACGGATATATATATATCGATCGGTAGACCGTGTAAGAAACGAATACAGTTTACTATTAAAACTTCTGTAAATTCGATTTACGTTGACTTAAACAAAAGTATTGAAGGAAAAAGAAAGAAAAAAGAGAATCAATTGAACGTAAGTTTTTTTAATTAAGTTTGTTCTAATTTGTGAGAATTAATTACACGGAATATAATTTCAATTAATTCGATAATTTTCATATTCCAACAGCGTTGTTTAAACATTTTTACTTTCTCGTCTTGTTTATATCGTAATTGAAATCAGACGATTATCTATAGTGAATTCTTTAAAATAAGGAAAGTACTACTCGTTTACTCGAAGAGAGAGAGAGAGGAAAAAGATACATTTTAGTTTGTTTTATTCTTTTCGAGCCATTACTTCGTACCTGTGGGATATCTCGATAAGATACCAATCGAGATGTTTCACTTGTCCCTGTACCATTCTTCTTTTCTTTTTTTTCTTTTCTTTTCCTTTCTTTCTTCCTTTCTTTTTTTTTCCTGTTCCCTCTCTCATATCCCTCTTTCTTTTTTTTCACCCTCTCCCGGAAGATAATTTCGTAAATATCAACCGTGAATTTGGAGAGGGTGATGGTGGACCTAGCAAATGGAAAGAGAGAGAGATAGAAAGAAAGAGAGAGAAAGAGCAAAAATACGACGGCATTTACGAGTCGTCGGTACGTTCGCGCGGTCGCCAGGAAAAATAAATAATCTCGATATTTATCTTCCCTCCCACGCTATAAGGAGTTGCTGTGAGAGCCAGAAGAACGAAAGAAAGAAAGAAAGAGATGAAAAGAGGGAAGCCGCAAACGGATTCAGAGTAAAAGACTTTTCTCTTGATATCGCTTCTTAAATTATTTCTTCCTCTTCTTTTTCTCTCCTCCCATTTCTCAACATTTCTTCTTCTTCTTCTTCTTCTTCTTCCTCTTCTTCATCTTCATCATCTTCTTCTTTACTTCTTCTTCTTCTTCTTGTTCTTTCTCATCTGAAACATTTTATTTGTCTATTTTTCTCGTCTACATCACTGACAAGATTTTCGGTAGACAAATTCCGAAGAAAAAGAGAGTGGTGCCGATGCGACAAAGAGGTAGGCGTGGCTCAAGACCAACGCCCATTTTATGTTAATGTTTTCGACGCGTTTAAGACGACGCATCGATGGGTATACAGGTAGCAGACGGCAGGTAGCTCCTGTCGTCGACTTGTTCGGAATTTGCTACGAACCAGTCTCGTGAACATAAAACACCTTACGTGGATATTCATATAAAGTTAGATGGAGGCGGAGGGGGAGGGGTGGGGGAAGACAACAACAAAAAAGAATAATAATAGTCCTTCTTTTTTAATGTTCGAAATATAAATTATTCAATTATTTTTTTATATCTCGTGTATTCGCATTTTTTTTTAATGAAATACTAAGAATACATCGTTTCTATTAACTTTCGGCATGTCAAGATTTTGCATTCCTGTTATTATCTAATTATTAATAATGACCGTGTTAAATTAAACATTGAACCGAGTGGACAAAAATAAAATATAATAAAATAAAATAAGATGAAGAAGAAGAAGAAGAAGATCTTGGCAAAAAGGAATAACGATAATGCTTTGTAGTAAACGTACGAAACGCCTCTCGATTGGAATCTTATCGAAATGTGTTACGTGTACGAATACGAATGGCAATGTTAAAAGGAGAGAGAGGAAATGGTAGAAATACCGATGTCTCGCGAACGACGATAATAGGGTCGTTAACACTGCTAAAGAGAAAGGGAAAGAGAATGAGAAAATACGAACTAAAGGGAAAAAGAGAATAAAGAAAAAGAAAGAGAGAAACAGAGAGAGAGAGATAGGAATAGACAGAAAGATGTATACCTACTAGGAGTAGGTGAAAAGAAGGTAAAAAAAAAGAAAAAAGAAGAAGAAGAAGGAGAAAAAAATGAAAGAAAAAAAGTGAGAGAAAAAGAAAACGAGGGAAGAGGACACTCGTTCACGTGATTGTATACTCTCTCCTCGTAATGTGCAGTACGCTCACGTAATTAACCATACGTGAGAAGGTTGTAGGTATTACGCGAGAACCGAGGAACCTAGTCGACGAGTCTTCCCTAAGTGGGAAATAAGAGAGCCTTTGTTTCGAAGGGTCGTCTCTCGCTCTCTTCGAGAAATTCTCGATATTCCCTACTCGCCCTAACCCTCTCTTTTCGTCGCTATCTTTATCTTTCTTTTTCCCTTCTCTCTCTCTCTCTCTCTCTCTCTCTCTCTCTCTCTTAGCGAATCTTTTCGTCGTTCCTTGCTCCTCGCGGTCGAATGGTCGAATAGAAAGAGCCTTGTTTCGAACCAACTCCCCGCCAACTGGACAAATCTCCTCCAGCTTTCACCGCTCAACCCTCTCCACCCCCTCCTCCTACCCTCGCCCTTCATCCTATATCTCCTTTTTTATTTTCTGCGAGAAAGACAGCGAGGCGAGGGGGTAGGAGGCCGAGTCGCGAACACTCAAAGAATATTACGAACGGGTCTTGTCTCTTTTAACGATGCGTTATCCTCAAAATGAAATAAACGACATAACTCTCAGAGATGCTTTTGTAATGCCGCAGTGATCTGTGAGTACTCTCTTTTATATAAGATATATGTCTGATCTTTTTGCTTAATTCCCTTGTCACAACATGGTAACTCGATCTTTCCTTGTATCGAACCAATGTGATTAGTTAAAACAACGTTGGTGTTGGATAAAATTAATGGTGTCTAATATGTCACATCGTATTAAAAAGATAATATGAAACGTTATTGACAACAAATGAATTATATTTCATGATATTTGTTTCAATTGGAAATGTATTTTAAATTACGTATTGTGTTGAATGATGGATTATCTTTTTTTTCATTTCAGGTGATAAAAGGCAACACGAACACCTATCTAGAATCGAAACACGAGTTAGACCCGCCAATGTGGGCGAGCAAAGTACGATTTCTTCCTTACAGTTATCATCGTCGTACGGTTTGCATGAGAGTCGAGTTGTACGGTTGTCCTTGGAACGATGGTATCGTTTCATATTCAATGCCACAAGGAGACAAGCGCAGCAACTGGGAATTCTTTGATGCTACTTACGATGGTTACTGGGACGGTCAGCTCCTACGAGGTTTGGGTCAACTAACCGACGGCAAGATCGGCCCGGATAATTTCAAGATGAGCTACTACGATTACGATCGTGGTCAAGGCTGGGTCGGTTGGAGGAATGACACTCGTTCCGGTCATCCGCTTGAAATTAAATTCGAATTCGACCACGTCAGGGAATTCTCAGCCGTTCACATTTATTGCAACAATCAGTTCACCAAAGAAGTACAGGTGAGTTTGGAAGATTGTTCTTTTTTTTTTTTGTTTTTTCTTTTCTTCTACGTAAGAAAAACTTAAAAATCTTGTTAAATCGTTAACTTTCTTAACGGGGTACAAAAATATGTATATATATATTATAAACTAGTAACTATAGGAGTAACGACGAGTTGTTTGTTAACATTAATTAGTACGTTAAAGGAACTTTATCGTTAAACTAATAATCGGATTACGCGTTTTCTAAAGTTATATAATTAGGAAAATATTATAAAGAAAAGTTACGAACAAAATCGTGTAATGATGTCACGTACGCAACCGTGAAATACCAGGAAAGCGGTTTTCTATGTATTAAATTTTACTAACCGCGATAATATACACGATGACTTCATCGTTCTTTCCAAGTTCTCGCATGTCTGCCCCGCTAACTTTCTTTTCGATCGATAACATCGCGCATAACATACACGCGACTCATGAATACACACACATATACATACATATATATGTAGCGAAGAATTCCTAAGCGTATAGTGACGATCATTGATGCACTTTGCTTGCCCTTCTCCAACCAACTTGCTGTTCATTACTCCCACCCATCCCCCACCCCATTCTCTTGGTACTTTATGCTTATCCAAGAACGAATAATGTAACTCCACGTAGTCGTAATTTTTTTTCTATTATTTTTTTGCGAATCCTCTTTGTCAAGAGCACAAGGTATTTCTTTTCTCGTTCAACAATGAACACTCGCGTGCATTCTCACACTGGTTACTAACTTATTAAAGACACTAGTTGTGTCCATCTTACTATGGCGTACACACAGAACCTATTATTTCCGTGACTTTCACAAAACTTTGTCGTTAGAGACGAAGTTCCAACCTCGTCGTCGTCGTCGTTGTCGTCGTCGTCGTCGTTGCTTCGAACAATCCTCGGAAGTCTTGGAAATATCGAAAAATTCGTACGACGAAGCTTTCCGGATAACAGAGAACTCAGAAATATCTGCAGAGACGTAGAGAAGTATATAATATGCGCGTGACGAAGAGGAAATTGGAAGACCCTCGGGCGACTTTTCGTTTGCACCAAAATGGCGACCAAAGGAATACGGGCTAGGGGTGAGGAAAGAATAGAGGAAGAAAAAAAAGAGAGAAAAATATGAATAGGAGAAGGAGGAGGAGGAAGAGGTGGAGGATGAGCTTATGCTGGAATGATAGTTCGAGGAAAGGAAAAAACTGTAGAAGGAAAGAATGAGAGAGAGAGAGAAAAAAAGAAGAGACAGAAACCATAAATATAGACTCGGGTTGAAAACCCATACGAAGGAAGGATATATCCAGAGCAAAGCTTTAATCCGTGCCCGGAAAAGACGAGGGTGGGTATGTACGGCATAGAATCCAGTTTTCACGTTGGAGTCAAGGTCGAGGTTGTAGGATGGTTAACGAGGCGCAACAACGGTTAGCCTCTGGCTTTGCTAGATGGAATGAGATGGTATGGGGGAAAGAGAGAGAGAGAAAGAAAGGAACCATAGTTAGGAGAAAGCTTCTTTTGCTTGTCGGCATTAACGCGTAGGGATTCTCCTCGACGTTGGTTGTTGGCCCTTCCGCGAAAATTTTCCAACTCGCACTGGGATCTCTCTATATAATGGGCCGCGAAACACTCTTCTACCGGTATCAAGATTTATTTGAATAGAGCGCCTCATTACCCGGCTCGGGAGCCGATTGTATAGCCGCGACCAAGCGAGAGAGAGAGAGGGAACAAGCATGGTGAGTGGAAGAAAGGAGAAAGAGAAGGATAGCAGCAAGTAGGTTGGGTAGGCAGTAGGAACTCTCGGTAACGCGGATTTAAGAAGGGTGGAAGAGTAGGTTCGAAGGGAGCAAGGTACCGTCGCGAGAGCTTCTCTATCTTTCTCTCTCTCTGTCTCTCTTTCCTTTTCGTATACACAATGGTAGCAAGCAACGACCCGGAGAGTACAGATACGCCACGTATTCGAATACAATACCGGCAGTCTGGCAAATCGGCAGTACTTAGATGTATAGGAAAGCCTAGAGGAAAGAGAGAGACAGATAGATGAACTGAGTAAGAGAAAATGAGAGAGAGAGAGAGAGAGAGAAGAGTAGTTGGCAACCTTCTCAACCCATTCCACTTTTGAACAACTCCTTCTATTAACAAGCGAGTGCCCACTTGCACGGATAGGACACGTCTCCTGAAAGACACTGGCACTTCAAAGCGCCGTCAGTAGTCTTCTATCTTCCTCTTTCTTTCTTGCTCAAGATGGTGTTTCCATTTCTCTTAGTTGGAGACGAAAATCCACGAAGCTCATCTTAGACGGAGTTTGATAATCTGGGTTTTGTAATCTTCGCTTTCGTGTACCACGTACCAGCCCTAGTTCTCGTGCTATCTCTCTTCGTTTATCTGTCGGTTCCTCCTCTTCACGATCTCCTTCAACTACCAAGAGATCCAAATTAGCATTCCGCGCGTATTCGCATCTTCGATCCTGATGCATCAGCGTTAAGGTCGTTATCCGTTCTCTCCTTCTCCATCTACTTCTCTTACCCTCTCGCTCTCTCGCTCATTCACTCATTCGCTCTCTCTCTTCCTCGATGGTGATAACGATAATAGCCTTTGATTATATCCATAATCGAGTGCGCTTTAAGCGCTCGTAATAGCGTTAATAAGCGATATTTGCTGATTTAACTAGAGTCGAGATTGACTGCGTTAACGCGACAGGACTGTTAACGTCCTTCCGACATCTCCTAATCCCCATTCCCCTACCCTACATAGGCGGATTACATACGAATAAAAAGGATTCACCAACGTTTTGTTCTTTTTCCCGTTAGGTGTTCTCCGAAGTTAGCATCATGTTCAGCGTGGGTGGCAAGTATTACACTGGAGATCCAATCGTCTATTCATACATGGAAGATAAAATTTTCGAACAATCTAGAAACATCACGATCAAACTTCATCATCGAATTGGTAAATTCGTCAAATTGAAGTTTAGTTTCGCTGCCAAATGGATAATGATCAGCGAAATAACTTTTGATTCTGGTAAACATTCATTTGTTATTATTATTCTTTCTTTAAAATGTGAATTTGTAAAGATTTAAAATCTCGCGCATAACTAAAAAAATGTTGGTCGTCCAATTGGCAAATGTTACAGATATCGCGCATGGTAATTTTACTCCCGAAGTTCCGCCTACAACAGAAGCACCGCGAAGTCGTGATAGAAATTCTGCGCGAGACAATCCCTTGCAAGCCGAATTTCCCGTTGCTAAGCAAGACGAACCTACGTACATGGCCGTGATCATAGGTGTTTTAGCAGCCGTCATATTACTTTTAGCTGTGGCCATTTTTCTCATAGTCTCGCGTCATAGACAGAGAAAAAACTTTGCCAGTCCGTTGGGTGCCAAAAGTGCTATTCCTTCAAGCAATCATCAACATTTATCACCTGAATCGGCGTATGGTACCACGGAAAAGGATCCTTCTTTAATGACGTACAGAGTTGAAGAATTGGATGACCGGTACGCGGGAACCAAATTAACAACCCTTCCACGTGATCTCAATGATCGGTTATTGGGGGATGTTAGATTGGACGAGTACCAGGAACCATTTCACGAGAACAAATATCGTGAACCTCCTCATGCTGCTTATTACGGATACAGCACTGTCGTTATAGACAACAAAGATCTTCACGATAGCGTTGAACAATCTGGTAAGTTAAAAACTTGTATTCTCTTGTTGGAAAGAAAAATATGTTACATGCGTTTCAAAAAACGAAATTTTATATTTTATTTATTAACATGGCCAGTGACTTAACATTTTACTTCTTTTTTCTTTTTTTTTTTTTTCCATTACCCACTTCGATTTTAATCTTAAAGTAATTTTCAACTTTATTCTGTTCACATTTTAATAGTAGTAGTCGTAGCAAAGCAACGATTAATTTGCCATGTTCGTGATACTCTTTTTCGAGTCACTAAAGTAGATTCGTGTGGTCTATATCGTGCAGATGCCACCTACGATTACGCGGTACCAATGCCTGTGCCTAGCGTGAGCAGCGATCAAGATAGCGTATTTTCCAAGTCGTCATCTAGAGGCAGTGCGAAGGTAAGCACCCGGTCTTTTCGAATTTTAGATTTACAATAGTCGACATTGTTAGATAAAATCGTTTTTAAAGTACTGGACAGTTTACCAAAATAATATTGGTCAATGAAATTTTCTTATAATACTTATTAATATATTTTATATTAATTCATCCGAATATTTTTTCATCGTCAGATATAATCCGAAGGATTCGATATCTATCATTAATCAATTGTTTCAACTTTTCTAAACGAGGGGAACGGTCTCTTACAATTATATTATTTTTTTCGAAAATGTGATTATTATTTTCATACTTATTGATATTTTATCGAAATCAAAATTTTCTTGTGATGAATTCTAATAAGTCGCCGTGTTGTGTTCTCTTAGGCTTGTTTACAGAGCTTTTTCCCACCTCCCCCGCCACCGATGAGTGCTCCACCACCTCGCGGTTCGAATAATCTTACGTATTCTAATCCACCGAGTCCAGAACCAGTATGCGAACGCGAACGCAGAGGAAGCAAACGCAGGGAACATTCTCTTCATAGATACGCGTAAGAGAACGTTCGTCGTGGCACATGTTCATCTCACACGCATACCTGCATACATACATAAATATTACATTAACACGAAGTGTACACGCGCGCGCATTCTTCGGGGATATACGCAAAACGTGTCGAAGGTCACCGAGGTACGTTAATTGCACAATTTGATTAATTATTACACGACATTATGGTTCTTGCTCTATTTCAACTTATTCGAACAATGTTTGCATGTATTAAATACAACAGAAAAAAAAAACAAAAAATAATTGTATATATTTAATATTATATATTAATATATTTATATAGGTGACCAATCAGTGATTATTTATCGTTATCGATATCTAGATCGTTATTATTTTTTCTCGTCTTATGTTATTAGTTTATAAATAACATAAAATCTAGTTGAAATGGAGCAAATCTAACTGGTTAATAGTAAGATGGAAGTAGGAAAAAGCAATGAAGATCAAGCAATACGTTGAAATCTCTGAACTGCGTATTCGCAGGAAGAGACGACCATGATTAAACAATATTTACAAAAATCGTATGCGTTCGAGATTAAAAATAGTTCTTACAAAAATAATCGGATTTAAGTTCGTTCTCCTTCGACGTGCACTGCCATTGACGCACTATTAACAATGTAATAATCGTAATTAAGCGTTAAACATTCGGGGGAATATATAGTATGTATATAAATATAAACAAATATATATACATACTATAAATACTATACAATGTAGTTAGATAATACGCGCGTTATATTCTCACGGTTGTATTACACGAAATTAGCATATCAGAATTTAATAACAATAATCGCGAATAATCGCACGGATTTTAACTCTTCTGGAAATTCAATGTCGCGACGAATACATCTCTTTGTAATAATAATAATAATAATAGTAATATTAATAATAATAATGATAATAATAATAATAATGATAATGATAATGATAAAAGGATTTGTAAAATAATCCGATCATTTGTATAGGAAAAAAAAAAGAAAAGAAGGGAAAAATAAAAAAAAATAAAAAAGATAAAAAAAGGAAAGAGAATGGATGTGCTCGTAGAATAAAATCGACAAAGTGATCGGATAAAAAATACAGCCAATCGAGATCTAACGTATGTGTATGTAAATCATTCAGAAGACATATCTTTTGTAGAAAAGCAACCTAGGTACTTGTAGTATCGGTTTGCTTTGATTTTTTATAAGCTTATGTCGTTTCTCGCTACTCAAAGGACCTCTCCTCTCCTCTCCTCTCCTTTCCTCTCTCGTTCTCACTGCCACACGTATTCCGCGGATGTCACAGAATACTCTATTATAATATTATCGTATATAATCTTTTTTCATTTAATCCTCTAACTCTTTCTCTTTATTTTTTCTCTTAAATATTATTATTATAATCGATCGCGCAAATATATTGTGATCTTTATCGGTTTTTAATAGCGCGATAAAAGATTTGCGAGAAAAGACGAAAGCTATTTGTATATATATATATATATATATCTTCTTTTTATGTATGTATGATTAATCTATTTACTTGATGATAACACAAAGGAGAAAAAAAAAAATGAAAACAAAAAAAAATATATATGTATATATAATAAAAAAACGCGCGAGATAAAGAACATGAACGCGTCGTTGTCGTCGTCGTCGTCACGAAATTTAATCGAGATAACATAACAGACGGATTTCCAGAACGAGTAACGCTAATGATTCCCTCTGTTCGGCACGCATGTGCAACAAGATCGAGCTCACTATCGATTCGAGTCCGACCGAAGGATATACACACGCATATATTTATATATATATAATACGTGTCCTACAAGTACACATAAATGAAACAGTAAGAAAAATAACAGGAGAAGAAAAAGAGAAAAAAAATTAATGTCGAGCTTGATTAATCGAATATTTATATATTCGAAAGAACATTGGCACGAGATCGGTGTGGGGTAAGAGGAAGGGGGGTGACAAGAGTAAGGGCCGAAGGATAATTAATCGCTCGATAATTACGAACGCTTGCTTTCACGAGACCGTCGTCGGTTAGATCCAGTTTGATCTACAAAAATAAAAGGTTTTATAAGGACCGATACAATAGTGAGCTTCGATCTCGAATCTTTAGCGAAGACTGACGTGTTTCGATAAATTCATATGATACAATATGTTATATATATATTATTATTATTATTATTTAATTAAAATATAATGAACTCTATCCGATCCTCACCCCCTCACCCCGCAACCATGAGCAGCTGACTTGTGACGCTTGCGCGCGCGCTTCCTTTTTCGTGTTATAATATATAGGATGTCCTATTAAAAATTGAATATTTGATAACGTTATTTACGACGATGAAGTTTGTGTTTGCCGAAGTATAATAATGTGGACGATTTTATGTGACATCCTGTATATGTGTATATATATATAAATGATATAGGCTGTATATTATTTTGCGATATATCCCATAAATGTACGTAGCAATATTTCTCCCCCAATCTTGCAAATTCCCTGAAAAAAACCCACTTTATTTATATACATAATGTATGCCTACGAGAAGTGAAACTATAAAATATATAAATATATGTATATATATAATAACACACTCGCACACAAACAAAAATACGTACATATAAAAATTAAATGAACAATTGCATATTATTATTCAAAACGAACTTTAAACATGCATAGTACACATATACATATACATATATATATATATATATACATATAAACCCAAGATTATTTCTCTATCGGTACCAAAACGCCTTCAAGCAACGAGATTTAAAAGAAAAGAAAAGAGAAAAGAAAAAAAAATGATAAAAAATATACCGACGTAAGGAATAGACAATACAGGATGAAAGAGAGAGACAACAATAAATAAAATTGCGTGTTTGTTAAAGAAATTAACGAAGATAATTATAAAAGGGGATAAAAATAATATGAAAAATAATAAGAAAGAGTTGAGTTTAGGATAAACAAGAAGAAGAGAGGATACAAGTACAGGAAAATAAGGGAACCCGTTAACGCGACTTTTATTGTGATATAGAAAAAAAAGCAAAAGAAGAAGAAGAAGAAATAAAAGAAAGGGAAAATAAAAAAAGAATAAAATAAAATAACAAGGGCTTGTATGGGGGGCTCTTTTGCGTTATAGCACTCACCTTTTCTCTCTCTCTCCCTCTCTCTCTCTCTCTCTCTCTTTCTAACACTCTTTTTCCTCTATCTCTCTCTCTACTTCTCCGTTTAGCGTGCGCGCGCGCTCGTATGTATGTATGTGCGCTTTTAACACGTCTCGTCGGAGAGAAGTTTCTTTTTTTTTTCTTTTCTTTTTTTCTTTTTTTCTTTCTCCCGATTTTTTGTGGTCCAAAGGTGTGGAGAAAAGAAGAGGAAAGAAAGAAAAAAAGAAAGAAAGAAAGAAAGAAAGAAGAAAATAAAATAGAAGGAAATGAAACAAAAAAGAAGAAAAAAAGGGAACACGAAAGGATTTTAGCGATGCGTAAATTAAATTGTTTTTCATTATTAAATATAAGTAACCGTAGCAAGAGAATTTTTCTAATCGTTAAAAACGAATTCTTAGGAACGCGTTAATGGTGATGGTAATCACGCGATCGCGAGAGTTAGTACAATTTGAATAAATTAATAAATTTATATAAAAACAAATTATAAAAGAAGAATGAAAAATTATACGCGTTATATTGTTTGATATTCTTTCGTATTTAATTTTATTTGGAATTTTTTTTTGTAAATTTTATTTCATTTAATTTCGGAGGGAAAGTGTACAGAGACGACGCGTATATACAATATATACACACATAATATTTTACAACGATCAAAATCTTAGCAATGTATATCTTTAGCGTGTAATCGTTGATATCGTCGCCTCGTAATTTATATCGAATGAAAGAGAAAAAAAAAAATTATTAGGAAATGATAAAAATTGAAAATAATTGATAAGAGTGCTTCTAAGTGCTTCTCGACGGATTGTAAATATTAATTAATAGGAGACCGCGTTAAATGTAATACATAAATAATACACACACAAATACACGTATATTACACTTACGTACATACATGCATACATTATAGACAGACAGACAGACAAATAACACATACAGATCTTCTCAAGCGCCTTAAGTTAATTGGAGACACAAGCAAATAAATCATTTTCAATCGCAATAACGGCGTTGTGTCTTTGTTACGAAGCGCGAGCATCATTTTTCGTGATTCGATACGGGAAGGAATCGATAGGATCGATTTCACCAGGACTATACGTACCAACGCATTCTCCTTTACTTCCAATAAACCTGTCTATTCCTTTCCGACGACAATCATCGGATTTATATTGTAAGAACGAGCTAAGAAACGTGTAAGGAGATGATATGATGTTACGTAAAGACTTTCTCTCGTTGTTTGTTGTCTTTATTTTTTCTTCCAGTATTTTTCCATGTATCATATAACACTAAAATTTATATATATATATATATATAGTTGTATCCTTATATATATAAAAAGAAAAAAAAAGGGAGAAAATGAATAATAATAATATATTATAACAAAAAAAAAAAAAAAATAAACGAACAAATATTTCTTTCAGAAACAACAACAACAAAATTCGGTCGCAATTAATTTATATGATATATATCGGGAGAAAAAGTGTTAAAGGTCCAACCGACGAAAAGAGTGTGTTATGTCGAATGTATGAAATATGTATAAGTGTGTGAAGAAAATATTGAAAGAAAGGGTTGTTATAAATTAGAGGGTATGTATGTAATTTGTCAATGAAAGAAACAGACAGAGAGAAAGAGAGTGAGAAATAAAAGAATAAGAAAACAACGAAAATAAAAAGAACAAAAAAAAAAGAACTTATAATTGTATGTATGTATGTACGTACGACGTGGGGTTAACTTACTGACAATGATGAAAGAAGAGTGAACTCGTGATCTAACTTCTCGAACAAAAGAGAAAATGATACTTTGCTCGAGTTTCGTCATATCTGTTTGCGAAAATGCACTACGTGCATGCTATACATACCCTTCAAATGGAACGTAGAGAAAGAGAAAGAGAGAGAGTGGGCAGGGAGTGACGTGGGAGGAAAAGGGAAAGGTTTGAAGGGGGTAGTTTAGAGGGTTAAACATCGGGTCGACCTCAGCGACCAACGTGTCGACGACAATGCGATATATAGTCGCGATACGGCACGCTCCTGACGGATGGGTGGAGGGGGGAGTGTGGGGGAGGAGGTGGCAGGCTTACGTG